GACAGTAATCATAGAGTAGTAAATTAAGGAAATGAGAGCCAAAAATGTGGATAACACTCATTTAATGGCCTCCATGTCCAAACAACGTTGTAATAGGGAATGAAACGGCTGCAACCAGCTGTATGAAGCCAAGAAAGAAGGCCTAATTTTTTGAAAATCTCAGTTTGAAAGAGGTTGTTTCGTAAGGTTGAGGTTATGATAAAAATCACTATCTCAAACAATGATAATGTAGCGAGAAAAGTAGTAGAAAAATTCCGCTACAACTACTTTAAAAATGTAGCTAGCTACAGCTAAAGCCACAAAATCTTAAAAGTAGCGTAGCTACAGCTAACGCTACAAAAAAAGTAGTGCGCTACCGTAGCGTCGCTACTTGTAGCGCGCTATTTCCCAACACTTGAGTATTTGTAAAGTATAACTAATGAATGTTCAAGTTGACAGTTTATTTTAATGTACTTACTTTGATTCTATCTTATCTCCAGGTACATGGAATGGATTACACACCACATCTGTGTATGCTGCATGCAGCTTCCTAAACATCTGCAGAAAAAATAATCATTACAAACGTTGTAGGCTACATTAAACCATGGATAAAACATACTCACTAATACATTCCATCAATCTTATGGATCAGCAAAAGACAATTTCAAATTTTCCGTGTCCGGTAGCCTATATGTAGAATAAGTATTAGTAGGAAAGATCCACACAAGATTTTTTATGACGTCATGAATTTCCCACATCCCTGATGGCGTCCATGACACTGACCATGCCCCCCGGCTACGAGAGACGTCCACATCCCCGATTTGAGATGAAATGTTAGTGTCTGTGCTGGGTCTTGAACCTGAGAACAACGTGGTAGGCAAGAACTCTAGGAATTCCATTCGGCGACGGCGGCAGTTGAGAGTAGCTCTGTTTGTTGTGTCATTTGACGCACCAGGTGATCGATGTGCCGTCATCACTAGATACTATTCATAATAGGGTTTTGTAACTATTCTATGTCTATGCTATCGACTGAGACTAAAGCTTTTCCTTCTTCTTCAGGTTTTTATTTCAGTTAACTTATATTCATAAGTGGGACAAAATATTGAATAGTTATTTGATTGTTAAGCAGCTTATTAGTGTTTTTATTGGAGAGATGTTATGCAGCTTAGTACCTACGCATATTTCTTTTAATAATTTTGTAAACTTTAAGCCAAAAAAAAACTAAGAATATAATATTAGACAGTTCAGGTACAGTATTGATGAATTAGTTAAATAGTTAACCTTAGAGATTTTTTCCATTTGGTCTTAATATTTTTTTAATGAGTTAAATTACAAAAAAAGGCATAAATAAATAAATGAATGTCTTTATTATCTCTGGCACAACAGCTTTTCAGAACAACTTTCGTCACTATACTAGATATCTTGAAACTAAATCGCGGAAAAGTGTTTGCACCATTAAGTTTTAAGCTAAAAATCTTGTTTCTGGCGATATATAAAATTCCCATGGTTATTTTAATGATATTTTGATTTCACTTTTAAATCTGAAAAAAGCTTTACATTAGAAACGTTTTGGAGCAACCATTGTGATTAAGGCCTAACAGTAGGCCTATAACAGTAAAATATCAAATACACATAAGTCATTTAAAGAAGGTTATAAAAATATCCTTACATTACCAAATTTACTTACGGTTCGTATTTCATTATCCCGCAGCATGGAATTGGCTGAATCTACCACAATGATGAATTTAATTTTGGTGTTGGTTACATAACCAAATCTAAAAATATGTTAAGAAATTTTCCATGAGCTCAGAAGTTAATAAGGTTAGTTAACAGTACCTGTGGGCAAGAGAAACTTTGATTTTGAGTTGTCCCAAATCCATTTTCAACATTTTGCAATAACTTATGTATGAACCATTGGCTAAGTACATTATTGCACCAACAGTATTTAAAGTGAGCAACAATGAGAGCTACTATTTACAAAAAGGTATAAAAACACCTTCATCAATGTTAGGAACTTCTTATTTTACAAAGTTGAACTGAATTTATCAGATAATGAAACAAAATAACAAAAAATACAAGTTTCTTTTCCTCCTAACCTGTAATTCTACGGAGAGAAACATAAAAATAATTTCCTAAAGCTTAGCCGCAATGGATCTTAGCTTCAGCTCTGCGAAGATAAGATCTTATTGCTATTATATTGTATACAAAAACACAAAATGCATTGGTTCGGTTTACAAAGGATACATTTTCTGTTCTTCAGTGGAGTAGAGAAGTCCGAGGTAGAGTTCCCGCAAATCTCCGCTCACTTTACCTGGTGACGATAGCTTCTCCTCTACAATGTCTAGAGATGTGTGGACCTTGTAATGAAACTGCAACTCTTGCTCCTCCCTCAAACAAGCTATAAACTTGGGTGAATTCTGAAAAAATAGCATAGGCTCTACTTGTTTTGTTATTGGTTTAAAATCATACCTAAACAGTGTGACAAACGTAATTTTATTATTAGGCTAAGTAGTTAACATAGCCTAACCGGTGGATGACTCTCTAAAACACAAGTTTATGTTTGCTTTTTACACTTTCTTTTTGGGGTTTTTTTTTGGAGCGATTGGGGCGATTTAGGGTTGTTTCTTAACTGGGCTACGCTACTATCGATTTAAATTATCTATTAAAAATATTATTTATGGGCTAATCAATACTTTTAACTACGGTAGGCCTATATCAATTATAAATTGAAACTGTCATAACCTAACCAAACTTGTTAATAATGAAAAAATCTAATTAAGAACTACTAATCAAATTGATAGTGTTAAGTTAATCAATATTAGCGTAGCCCCGTTAAGAAACTGTAAGTTAACTTACCCAGAAAGATTGTACAAGTCCGTAAAAAATAAAGATCTTTTCAAATAAGCTGTAAGTCCTGACTCTACATGGTTTGAGCACTTACATTTGTTTAACACTAATACCGAAACCCTACCTAGGCTGACGTTAACCGAAACCCCCGGTCTGTAAGACCCCATTTGAAAAATAATGGACCCCGCTTAGACACACACAAACCGAAACCCTCGGCCTGTGAGACCCCGCGTCTGAGACGGGACGGGCATGTTATAAACAGACATCCTGTCAAGGTAACGGCACCCATGCGAAATGAACAAACAGTATATCAATAGGTAGGGGAGGAAAAGGGGGGGAGGTATTGGGGAAATGGAATCTCCCAAGTAAACAGTGTTGCCATAAGTTAATGCGTTTGTGAAAATTCCCGTGGGCTTGTCAGACCGGGGTTTCGGTATAAGTGTTAAGTTATGTCGAATATTATTGGATTGTTAAACAACTTCATGGCGTTTCTATGCCTAGTTCAACATAACATAACCTAAAAAAATAATTAGTAAAATATATGATTGTGAAAAAGATATAAACTTATACAATTTAGATGTAAATTAACACTAAAATGCGGAAGGCTGATATACTCAACTTTTTAAAATTAATTCTTACTTACTTCTTTTCCAATAACTGCAACACAAATAGCCATTTCGTCTGTTTGTTATGTTTTCGTTTCGTTTAGTTTCGTTTTCGTGGTTTCTTTCTTTTGCATTCCTCCTTTCTCATCTTTCTACTAGATTGAAGGCTTGATTTTGTAACCATGCAGCTACACCATCTTATTTAGTTCATTAAACTGAGATATTATTTTGCCGTAGATTAAACATACTAGCCTCCTATGAGTCTTCCTTCTTTTACTGTAAATGTAAATTTTGTGACTGTGTGATCGTGATGTGCTATAAATTAACCCCACCAGTTTAGGTGGTTTTAGTTTTACTCCTAAGGCAGCTACTGCAGCATACGGATATAATCTTTAAAAAATGATGAAACTATTCACAGATGTTTTGTAATGACTTTGTACACTTTGGGAAATAATTCTGATACTAAAAATAAATAATGCAGTTCGTTAATGCAATTTAATTAAAAAACTATAGTCATTTTAACGACATATTTTATTGTATTATAATTATAGGCATAGATTAGTTATTATTCTACCTATCCAATGGTTATTAATCTATGATATAATACAGAAATTACATTTTCAAGAATCACGGCCACCTTTAACTCCAGGCCACGGCCTGGTAGAATTGGCAACGTCGCATTTAGGGTTGTTTGGTGTCAGACGTCCCATAAGATAACATGAAAGACAGCTGACATCAGCTCATTAATTCGCACTTCATTGATTTAAATTTAAACTTATGAACATACATTCATTAAAATAATGAAAATGAAACATAGGTACAGAATTGAAAACCAAAACAATTTGAATTGAAAATCTATATCTGTACATTTAAAGCGGAGTCAATATTTTTATAGCCCAGTAACCAAGCTTTCGTAAATACTCAAATGCCATTAGCTGCTTCCAAACAAAAGAGCTGTTAAAAGTTAAAACCCTACTTGCGACGATGCAACTCCGAAAGCCACGGCCTGGAGTCAAAGGCGGCCGTGCAAGAATTCTAGGCCTCTACTTATAGTTTAATCATAGATAAAACATGTATGTTTTATCTATGACAAAATTAACATGTCACTTTGTTTCACGTTGGACTAGTTTTTTGGACCAGTTGCAAAAGATATTAAAAGACTTCCACATTATTGCTACAAAAGGACCTTTTGATAATGTATCTAGAACCTCTGTCAAGCTCCCCTCCTTTCTTTAAAACGGCAACTTGTCCGTGATGATCTGATAACGCAGTAACCGATTGCATTTTACTTTATGATTTAACATGCACTTGTATCTAAATTAAATCAACTTGTTTTTACTTTGTTTGTAATGTATTAGGCTGTATTTTTGACACGCACTGATGAGCATAGTTTTTTTTATTAGCGAAGAAAGCCATATGTTCTATCCTGAGTTGCGCAGCGCCTGTCTCATATGAACTGACGTCTGCCCAGCACGGGCTTGCGCGCCTGTCAGTTCGGAAAATCGATTGAGTTCGCGTTTTGCTACTGATAGTGTCTACATTCAAATAATAATAGTATAAAATGTGCATATTTAGGTCAGGAGGTACCGGGATCCATCGCCGAGTATTCGCTTTTTAAATTCGTAAAGGAGCACCACTTGTAAGTAAAGCACAAAACTCCGTTTTTAATAACAATTTATGACTCCTTATTCTGTAACACTCCTATTTTATTTAGCATTGCCAGATCGTCCGTTTAATATTTTTTTTCTAAATGCCTTTCATAATCGTAATATAAAATCAATTCATGATAAATGTATGTGTGTGAATAATAATTTAAGATCTCTGAACAAGCCAAATTTAACGCTATGAAAACAGTAAGTTAATCCAAATAAGACGTTTTTGTTCAATAAAAATATTCTTTGTTGTCTGAATATAACTACAATTGATATTTGGCCATACATTATTGTTTAAAAATACACCAAAGTAAACACATAAAATAAATCAACAAATTTGATACACCAGCTTGTATTGTTTTACAATTTTATGTTTTACAATATTTACGTATATCTCAGGAACTAATAAATTCATTGATTACAACATATCTAACAGACTTAAATTGATTATTATATTTTTCATTTCCCGTGAAATAGTTTATATATATATTTTTTTTCATTTTATATCCAGCCAGATAAAGAGCTTTAATAATAAACGCCTAATTTAATGCGAGAGTTATATCTTATCTAATAGGGATTCTTTAAGTTTGTCGTCCTCATTTGCTAGGACAATATATTGGAGAATATATATTGTGCATACTTTCAAAATTAAGTACTTTGGACGTTTTACTTCAAAGTTATTCTATGAAGTATGATGAAGGCTTGGTATTCCTTTGTTTGATGAGCCTGTATACTGCAGACTATCGAACAAAGTGGCCGAGGTGTGTATCATTCGCGGTAAGAATGTTCAATTTTTTGCACCCAGAACCTGTAAAATAAGGTTTACAACGAAATATGAAAACTACATCCTAATTAGATGCGATTATCTAACAGTCATCATTTGTTTACTGCGTCGTATAAAACACTTGTCTCGTAATAGGAAAAAATAGACACAACAGAAATCATAATATTTTTCAACGATAACGATAGGTACGGTAAGCAAAATATTGTAACTCCTAACCCCCATTTTCAATTAGAATGTTTGCTCTCTGTACGTCTAAACAGTTTAAGTACGATAAAAAAGAGTTATTATTCAGAGTGTTGGTGATTGTTGGGGGCATGGGGGGCCAACTTATTTTCAACCGTATTATGTATTACGTGCCAAAAAAGCACGCTGCTTGCATTGTTTGGTGGAGTACTGGTGTGCGGCAAAAGTAAGTAGATACAGCAATTAGCAACTTTCTGTGCTATAATCAGTGCAAAGAAGGCCACTTTAACAGGTGACTGAAGGGAAAATTAAGTTTTTTTCTTTTCCGACTCCATCAGGTTGTTATCTCGTCTGATCTCAATCGGCTGATGGCTCTACCTATTGCCGAAACAATCTGCTTCTATGGTACACTATACCACTATACGCAGAAATAGTTATTTGTGCAACTAGTGAGAAAAGTGAGCAATTGACTCACTCGAGAGAAATCCTTACTCACGAGCCGTAGGCGAGTGAGGAATGGTTTCTCGAGTGAGGCAATTATACTTTGAACTCGAGATTCAAATTATACCTTTCCTACATGCAGTTACCATAAAACAAATAAATTGGTGAAGAAACATAACCTATTTTTACACAGAAGTGAACTTTTAATATAACATTTAATGTGAAGTGACAAATACAACAGTACAACAGCTGACCAGCTGATTTACAGCCAGAGCTGCCAACGTATTTCGCGCGCATACGACGTTGCCTGCATGTTACGCGCTCACTATTTCGTGCCTTCACGTTGCAAATCTGAAGTGAGACAAAGTAATTAGAGTTAACATTGTCTCACTGATGAGTGAATTGGCCACTTTGCTTTCTCAAGTCAGTGAGAGAACATGTACATTGTTAGGTAACTGTAGGAAAAATAATTTTCTTAGCCACCATTTCCTGTCGTCGTGTTGTAACGAGAGAAAAAAATGTACACCATTTTCGTCAAAACTGTATGTACAAAACTGTGTTGTCCACATAGTTAGTAAGGTTTTGTTTTATACTATAGGAATGGGGTAGGAATCCCTTTATAAATTAAAATGGGCTTAAAAACACAAAAAATGAATAAAAAAATTACATATGGGCCTTATGGGGTGATGAAATAACAACAGAATATAAACAGGAAATCAAAACAAATGGAAGAAATTCCAATCACATGTTTTATTTACAGAGTGGGGTGAAATATTTGGTGGATATTGTTTTGCTTTTAAATAATAGTAGTTTTCATTACCGTACTATATAGTCTCGAAGGTGACTTAAAACTGTATAGCGGGGAGAGATTGTATTTGTGGAAAAAGCTTTCGAGTCCCGCAATGGCACTTTTGAGACGAGTGTTAAACATAATTTTCCTACAGTTACCTAACAATGTACATGTTCTCTCACTGATTTGAGAAAGCAAAGTGGCCAATTCGCTCATCAGTGAGACAATGTTAACATTGTCTCACTCTAATTACTTTGTCTCACTCCAGATTTGCAACGAGAAGGCACGAAATAGTGAGCGCGAAACATGCAGGCAACGTCGTATGCGCACGAAATACGTTGGCAGCACTGGCTGTAAATCAGCTGGTCAGCTGTTGTACTGTTGTATTTGTCACTTCACATTAAATGTTATATTAAAAGTTCACTTCTGTGTAAAAATAGGTTATGTTTCTTCACCAATTTATTTGTTTTATGGTAACTGTAGGAAAAGTATAATGTGCAACTCGAGTTCAAAGTACAATTGCCTCACTCGAGAAACCATTCCTCACTCGCCTACGGCTCGTGAGTAAGGATTTCTCTCGAGTGAGTCAATTGCTCACTTTTCTCACTAGTTGCACAAATAACTATTTCCATTACAATATCAAGAAACATGTAAACAACATGAATATTTTTGTTTATTCAACTTATTATCGAGAAAAACCGAACTCATAACGCTGAGTTTCCGTGCTTATGTCGAGGTACAAAACAATGCAGCTGATCGGTCTGCACCGTAGGCTAATCCCATAATGGTTACTTTCCGTAGACCACAAATGCACAGAAAGTTAATGACGGTAATTTTCCGTGCAGTAGCGGGAATAATCTATTTTCTTAGCTCATTTTACGTTTAGAAAGTGTACTTTTGTGTGTAGAGTAATGAAAAAATTATTGTACTTTAATTTAACAGGCCTAAGGTAAAGTTGGTTCCAAACACAGTTATTTACTGTTTCAGTAACCTTCTAAGATGGAGTAGGCCTATACCAATTAATTGTCTCGAGGAGTAATAAAGTATCAAGCTATAAATATTAAGAATTCTTTGGGAAAAGAAAACTTGACATTTTTTTCATGATTAATGCGTTGAGCCAGATTTTGATGGTCAAAACCAATTTAGTTATTCTTGCATATCAACGATATACATATATCATATTAAAGGAACAGTTTTCATCTTTCAGAAGGAAAACCTGTGACCTTGTCCTTGTTATGTCTGTTTCGTAGCTTATTTATGTAGTTTGTTTGGTTGTGTTACTCCTAATCTTATTTAAAGTCTTGTTATTGTTTCATTGATGTTTGTCTTATGTAGTGAACTTATTGTTCTCACATAGTTTATTAGTTACATTTTGTCCAAATAGTTTATTTTGTTGTAGCTTTCTAATTCTTAATTCTTAACTTCTTCTGAACTCCAAATTTACATTAAATATTTTGTTGTTAGGAATTCAATACTTTGTTGTTGTTATTATCTGTATTTGTTATTACGTTAATGTTTTGCTGTGTTATTTTTTTGTTGAAATGCTGTTTTTCATCTATATTAATGTGTATTTACTGCAGTTAATTATTATGTGCAATGGACATTACTATTGCACTGTACTCTTGTGCTGTTTACAACACAACATTACTCATGTAATGTTTGTAAAAAAAGTGTATATGCGTTGATATAAATAAACAAATGCATACAATCTTTTACAGTACTTAAAATTAATTAACTAAAAAATTAATCAGTTTTTTATTTTTTTTTTAAATCTTCTAATCAGTTAAAGAATAAGGTGTATAAAAATTATAGCTACATCTTTAGATTTACATTAACATTTTTACATAGGAATATTCATTATTGCATACTCCTACAAATGAAAATTATATTTAAAAATATAGTAGATTTTAATATAGTATATATATGGTAAAAAGTCGATCAATATTGTGATTAGATGATCAGATCATCCAACAATCATCATCAGACAATCAGACCCTCTTGAACGTTAGAACGTTGAACATCATTCTGTTAAGGTCTCATCTCTTACGATGAGTATTGGAATATCCAATCACAATTTGGTTACATCTACCAGGGTGATTACAAATGAAATAGACGAACTGTATTTTATTAAATACAAAAATTCTATCTCATTTGTAATCACCCTGTATAATTAATTATTGCATGCAATGTTAATTGTGAGAACCGGTTTTTATAATTTTTGCTTACAGTTTTTTTTCAAATGGCCATTTGTATTTTATTAATTTGTAGATTATGGGGTTTATTTTTTAAATTGTTGAATGTTTTAGAATATTTTAATTGTATAAACATAAATGTTTGCTGTTATAGGTACAGGACCACATTTAAGTTCTGGAATTTACTAATGAACTATCAATAAACCCATTTAAATGTGAGACAATATACACACATTTCCAAAAACTAATTAGGTTACCTATAGATATTTATTTTACCTTAATTCCAACGCTCATGAGCCCATGAGAGTTTATAATAAATACATAAAGATGATGTATTCTAACTTAACAAATTACTAGCAGAGGACACGTCCTTCGTACGGGGTTGGCATAAGTATAAAATGCTTTTTGCAGTTATGAGAGAGAACACAGTTTAAGAAAATTTGGTTCTTTTAATTTATATGTATGCTTTAGTATAGCACATCTATCATGAGAGCCATTATGTTCTACCACTGCCGCACCAATAAACAATAGAAAAAAGTAAAGTTCTCATTGTGTACCACAATCCAAACTTTCTTACTTATACATATTATTTGGGAAGGGGTAGAACCATGAATTGGCAGTGGTGGTGAGGAGGCGTTAGAACCAAACAATTCTTCACAGTTATAAACATTTTTGCACAGTAAAAGATGGTCATTTCCACCAAAGTTTAACAGTAATATTTATACTAGTTAATATGTTTATCTATACACTCAATCTATATTTTCCCTTATAATGTAAAATTATGATTTGATGTCAGTGCAATAGTGAAGATATAATGTCATGGACTAAATTTGTTTTTATAAATTATCAGTTGTTTCTGAGAATAATTGGTGAAAAAGACTAAATGTGCCTATTCATGTCTTCTTTATCAACTAACAGTAGAAAAATATAGTTGAAACAATTATAACATTTAATCAATATAACAAATAATCCACTATTGATTTAGGTACCTATACCGGTAATGAAGAGATGATGACTGTAGGCCAGTAACTGAATGTTAGCCCAGACAACGTGAGCCGGACTTGGTAAGCTGGTACTATGGGCAGTGCCTCCTCCAAGTTCAAAAAGTACCTCCACAATGGCGATGAGTTTGCTGCTATGCAGGTTTGCCTATATTCTTTATTTTGATCTTCTATTTTGAAATAGTATATTTCATAGCATGAGTAGAAAGTGAATCATTACATATTTCAGATTGAGACCATGTTTGAAGTGCAAGATTTATCGAGCACTTTAAATGGTTGAGAATATGTACAAACCCACTTGCACTCGTGTTTTGAAGGTTTTTACGTTTTGCTACACTACAAAGAAATTTTTTTCTTGAATATTACAAAACTCATAGCATTTTTCAGGTTATAGCATCAATATTAAAAACAGTTAATATTTCCTTTGGTTGTAGGTATAGTTTTGGTTGTTGAAAATTAAAAAGGTTGACAAAACAATAAAAAATCTTTGTTTGTTTACATCGGCAAAATCCAAAAAAGATAGTAAACATTACTTTTGCATATAGTACTAGTACTTTAAATTATCATTTGATGTTTAAATGGAATTGTTTACTCTTATTAGACTATAAACTTTGAATATTGGTCGGTTTAAAACATATTATTGATCAAATATGTGCTAACATAAACCAGTTAACCAGTCACCTATGGTACGGTAATTTGTTTCATTTGAGTTTTTAATCTTTACTTGCAGGTTTTTCAAAGTTCTCCTGAGCTCAGAAAAAACTTAGATCCAAATTTGAGCTACGGAGAGAGTCACAATCACAACACTGCGCTGCATTACGCAGCCAAGCACGGCATGAAGCATTTGCTCAGGTGAAGATAAACATTAGCATTTAAAAAAATAATAATACTAGCCAGTGAAAAGGGTGTCAACTTCTTTTGGGCTTCTGTTTTAAATTTTGCTTAATATAGTAAAGCTTCCTTTATTGGATGTAGCCTCAAGTTTTGATTGAAAATCAAATCTTGCTGAAACCATTATGAAATGTGTTTATATGTACTGATTGAAATTAGTAAAATTTTTTGGATATGTCCAACAGTGAATGAGATTTTCATAGTTTTGTACAAAAACCATAGGTTTTGTGGCTTCAATTAGTCTCTTAGATCATGACACAGTATAACTTCTAAGCAAATTTTACCCATGGAACAGCTTAATTTTATCAACTAAAACTATATTGTAACTTAACTGTATTCCTAACAAACGGTTGATGCAACAGTATTTTATCCATGTCTTTAAAAACAATTTTTTGCTTCAGAACTTTTTTGAATGACCTGGGAGGCAATCCGAACAAGAAGAACGGAAGTAATGAGACGGTGCTGCACGCCGCGTGCACCCTTGGTGTGCACAAGACGTTCTCGGCACAAGAGAGGCGTGCAGCCTGTGTAACTCTACTATTGCAGTGGCGTGGTGCTGAACTAAACTCGGGAGACGAGAGAGAGAAGGTGGATTTGACTGCTCAAGATAATGTAAGTATGATTTTGTGTAACAGTTGAAAAACATGCAAAATGTAAAAATATAGATATGTTGCTAAAACATTCCCTTCCACTTAAATGAGGGGCTAAAATAAGGTTCAGAAAATAAAAAAAAATTGTTTGTTAAAATTTTACTATTGAAACACTCCTTAAAACTAATGTCATTTAAATAGGGAATAAAAATGACATGTTTAAAGCAATATTTGATTTAAAATACAACCAGACGAAATGGAAATTCACTTAGTCTGAAGATTTGCTGTGGTAGGGGTACGTTTTTACAAATTATCATCCTATATTTAGCTTTACATTTTTATCCTCCGATGTTAAACATTTAACTACAGCCTGGTTAGAATAAGTTATCAACTATATATATAACATATCACATATTTTGAAGTTACGAAGTGACGCAGGCTGCTAGTTTACCTTAAGTTTTATCAACACAAGGTTATAACAGCCCCAGTTTAAATTTTCCTCCTAACAGAATGGCAACACTGCTCTTCACCACGCGGCGGTGGCTGGCCTGCAGCGTTGTGTAGAACTGTTGTTGGCTCACGGTGCTCCGTTGTTTGCCGAAAACAATGACAAGTTGACTCCTTGCGACCTTGCGATGAGAGAAGACCATCACAACATCGCAAGGCTTCTTGAATCCAGGATGGTCTTTGTGAGTCTCTTTTTGTGGAGTTTGTTTACTAACCAACAGTATATTTTCCAGTTGTTTTCTAGTTGATTTTCAGTTGTTTGTTATGTTCCAACGCCAAAAAGTATCCAAAGATAGAGTTTGATCAGTTTCTTCATACCTCAAAAGGTGTAACTTCTTGTTCATTTACCTCAGTTTTTTTATAAAGTAGTGTAACAGAAAAATAAATACACAGAGATTGGCAAAAATAAATCCACGAACATTGGTCAACAAATAAATCAATTACTATAATTGTTTTATGATAAAAAGTCTAAAAACTAATCCAACCTCAAGAGAATTTTACCACATATTAGCAGTGTTAAAAATCATCTGCTAATCAAAATTTAGTTGAGTATCTGAAACAAAAAACTCATCTTGACTACTCTAAGGGTATTGTTTTTCGTGTTGGCAGGCGGACAGCAACGACACCATCAACGAGGCACAACTCTACGGACCTGGGGAGGAAGTTTACAGCGGACTAAGGACGCAGGACCTACAAGAGGCCAAGGATCAGCTGTTGGTAGAGACTTCAGACATGCTCAACATTCCCCTCTTCACTGCTGAAGCTCTACTCAGGGACAATGGTATTATCAGTTTACAAAAGTCTAATTTAGCCTTATAGTGAAAATATGAAATTTTTTACGTTTTTACTTTTTACTTTTTATGGTGAGTGGGTGTATGATGAGACCATAACCTATAAACCTGATGATTAACACGTTCGCTGTGAGCCACTCACCGCGGTGAGTACTCTAGTTCCTTTATGCCACTCTGAACGTTCACTATGAGTGTCGGCAACCAGCATCGCCTATTCAATTTCTGCGCAGCAGCACACAGGGAAGAACAGATATTTTTATGCCTGCGTTTAGCTAGGAATGGGTGTTTTATTGTGGCGTAGGTTGGTAGTAAATTTCCCCTCAAAATTCCCATCTGGCATGCTTAGAAATCAACTTGTTGTCCCGTCTTTCTCCCTCCAATTGGCAATACAATGGGGCCGGCTAGTTCCAGATAGTGCTGCTATCCGTGAGTGTTTTAGGAAACTACGTCGACCCTCGTCATAACGCAGCACATCAACGCACGTAATTTGCTATTCGTCAGACTAAAATATTAGAAAGCCAAACTCGTTCGCTTGGCACTGCGCCCCCCGCCATTTGGTGGCCCTATTAAACGTAGGGTGAAATAAACAGGGAGATCTCTGAGTGAAGCCTAAGTTCTTGGTGTTTGAGCCTAAACTCTGGTTGTTTGAGCTTGGATATGTAGGTAAAGTGTTCCAAGACCAAATGAGTTACCAAATATAAAACATCATGAGACAATGTACTATCTTTAGAAAAGCGTATATGTTTTCTTTAAAAAGTATAATAAACCTAAAAGTTACTGTGAGGTATCATGAATCCTGTTTTATCTCCTGGTCAATCAGTGGTATTTTCAACTGCCCTAAAATTGGGATAGATGACATGACACATTTAAACATTCTACTTTAGTATTATCTCCAGTTTCTGACTCTCATAGAAAAAAACTCTCTGTAAATATAATAACATAAATAAACTTAGATAACATTATTACAGAATGGTCGCGAGAGTCACTGTTGGAAAAGTGGATGAAGGACCCAGTGCAATGTTGCCAACTCGCCGGAGTACAGCCACCAACGTCGGCTTGGCAACAGTGCGGAGGTGAAAACACACGAGTGCCACTCACGGAGATGCAACAAGACTCTGTAGAAGATAAAAACAAAAGTGATCAACCAGAGGATATTTTCGTAAGTTTGAAATATTAGATAAGTATAAGGCTATAAATTCAATCCATATTATCGTAATCAATTTTCTGAGACAAATTATTATACAGCAAAGGTCACCAATTCGACCCCGAGAAAACTCAGAAGCTTTTTGATATTACTAAACTGGATTTAGTTTAGATTTCTAGATTTCCTTGATCATTGGTCTTTTAAAAGATAAATAATCCTGACTATAGAACCAGCTGATCTTAAGCGCTAACGTTGTAGTGTGATATATGCCTGATGGCGGTGTCTGCATGGGATGTCCCCGCCGCGCTGTCGTGCCTCCACCGGTTTTGCTCCGCCTGCTGGGAGCGTTACCTCACAGTTCGTATCCAGGAAGGCGATGCTCACCACATCCTTTGTCCTGCGACCATGTGCCACATACTGGTTCCACCGGAACTCATAGAGAAACTGGTCAGTCCGGAGGTGGCTCGACGATACCTGCAGTTTGACATCAAGGTTAGATTGGTAGAAGTAAATCAGTTAAGAAAATAGATACAGGTTTGGCTTGTTCTAATATTAATCCCCGCCCCCAAAATGTGGTTCTGTCTACTACCTTGTGAACTTTTTTGTGTTTAACCCATTGCAACCTTTGTTTTGTTTTATTTCTTTATTTGGCACATTTATCAATCATCCAATCTTTATTTTTATCCGACCCTCCTTGTGGCCAATTTAGTACTATGAAATTGCATGCTATTCCCTCATGACTAGACACCGTAGCACCAAAATCTTATGTAGTAGATCCAATAGTCAATGGTAGTAGGCTACCTTTAATGGAAAGATGTGCCAGGCTTTTTAGGCACTGGCACTTGACTGTACTTTCTAATTCTTAGCACACAACATGCCATTCAGTTTGCCAACTCATACCTCCCTGCTAAGTCATGTCTTTGTCGCGGTACAATGGAAGGCCTGTCACTTATATACATATATTTGACAGTTACAGAAGTAGTATATTTCTTTGCCAAATATTTGTTGTTGTGTTTTGGGAAGATGACAAAAAGTTTGGTGTATTTCTAAAGCATCAAAACAACTAATAGGTAGCCTTTAAATTTTGACAGTGAAAAACTTTATTGATTTTTTCAGTCAGTTGTAATACTTCCCTTGTATAGGCTATATGTTATTCAATTATTATTCTCCATTATTTGTGTACAGGCCTTTGTAGAGACCAACCGCAGTATCAAGTGGTGTCCGATGGCTGGCTGTGGCCGAGCGGTTCGACTACCTGAGATAGAGCAGATGAGGAACCAACCTCAAGTTAACACTTCACATGCGGTCGACTGCGGCAATGGACACTTCTTCTGCTGGTTAGTATCATTTTGAGCATCATTGTCGTTTGTTGTGCCTATCGTGTACTTCAGAGCTCTAAATCTTCATGTACTTGATGAAAACCCAGCATCCTGCCTATGATCTCTGCCTGAGACAGCTGTCCACTCCTTAACATGGTTCCAAGCGGACTTTCGTTCCAGTCATCTCTGAGCAGTCAAACATTATATCTCTAGTGCCCTCAGTTCCAGAACTATTAATCCTCAAGCAATGTAGGTTATTCCTCAATAACAATGACCTCTCTAATATATGTGGTCTTTTAAACTGTCTTCTGTCTATTTTCAAAATTTTTGAGGTAACTACTTAATACGAGTGTGACAGAGCAGCTTGCTTACCCTGAGATACTAAAGTCCCTTCCTAAGCTCATGAATCCATCCAGGCTGACCAGTGACCATCCCCTGTGACTTCCTAACCTCACAATTTCTGTTAAGGGAGTGTCTGGGAGAAGCGCATGCACCAAGTGGCTGTCAACAGTGGCGCCAATGGCAGAGCAAGATCACACAAGTCAAGCCCGAGCAGTTGCAGACGACATGTACAGAGACTGAGGACGCTGCCAACTGTCTCTGGCTCGTCACCAACTGCAAACCTTGCCCCAACTGCAAGAGTCCCATACAGAAGAACGAGGGCTGCAACCACATGAAATGCTCTAAGGTCGGTGTTTGTTTTGCAAGAATGGACAAAATATGTTGTTAGTAATGCAAATATTTACTAATTTGAATCTGTTTTGTTAAAAGTAGCATTTTTAGGCAGTGTATTTGATATTGTCTTATTCTGTTTGTTGTCTCTTATAGACTTTCAAAATATCTTAAAATAACCCCTGTTTCCAATATCAATAAAAGAAGTTCATTACCTTAGGGTTATTTTATGTTCAGTGCAAGTTTGACTTCTGCTGGGTTTGTCTGGAGAGTTGGAAGAGACACAGTTCAGCAACCGGTGGATACTTTAGATGCAACCGATTTGAAGCGGTTCACAAGGCAGATGAAAAACAAGGAATTCTTATTAGTGAGGTGAGAAAATTAAAAATATCAGTATTATAGTTTAGAGATAATGATTTGAAATAAATTAATTTCATGACAAGTTTTATATGATCGTGCCAATCTGAAAGATTGAGGGGTTTGAAATAATTGGATTTAGCTATGACAGTGGTGCTGGATATAGTGTTGTGATGTTCCTTGATATTTGTTGAGAACATTAATGTATCATGGTGAAATGGCCTCTGGATCGTCTGAATTACACCGTTCTAGCTGCACAGTCGCGACTCACCCTCAACCGGCGCCGTATCACGTGTGTTGTTACCGTCGTCTGGTCGACCAATATTAAATGTTTCGTGTTTCCTTGTGTTATGTGTTTTGTTCTCTATTTATTATTAAACTTTTGACGAACTCCACTGCGAGGAATATGAAGACTACTTGACATTCTTCTGACCTGATGATGTGCTCCATTCGAAGCATGTAACAGCTGTAGTCTTACTAACTACAAAGGATCGTTTTGACAGTAACAAGGTAATTTAAACCACTATATCATTAATTTATGTTGAGAAAATAATTGACTAGGACTTGGGGCCAGGCAGGATGGTGAAGATCACAAATCTAGAAAAACCATACAATGTCAACATTGTTGACAGGGATGCCTGGGACAAGGGTGAACCTGAATACATGAAAAGGGGGATCACTTGGTATACGGATGGCTCGAAAAAGCCAACGGGCTGGAATATATGGAGTCAGACCCAAGGCGCAGTTCTGCGTAAGCCTGGGGAAAATGGCCACTGTATTCCAGGCATAAGTTGTTGCCCTGTCCGAGTGTGCAAGAGTGTGTTTGAAGCGCGGTCTTTTAGGCCACACTGTATACATGGACTCGGACAGCAAAGCAGCACTAATGGCACTTGACAGTTTTGACTTTACCTCCAAGGCTGTATGGGACTGTCATCAGGCCATGAAAGCCCTGGGAAAGAACAACAGGGTCATCCTTAGTTGGGTTCCAGGGCACAAAGATATTGCTGGTAATGAGGGAGCTGACAAGTGGGCAAACAAAGGAGCTGAAAGCCCGCTCATGGGTCCAGAGCCGACGTGTGGCACTGCTTACAGCACAGCACGGAGAGCTGTTCGCCAGTGGATGGGCATAGAACATCGAAGGAACTGGGAAAGAACAGAAGAAAATGTACAGTCAAAGAGAATGCTGCAGGCACCTACAGGTGCGATAGCAGCAGATGCCCTTGGGCTGAGTAGGAAGACCCTGCGGAAGGTGGTTGGCTTTATTAGCGGCCATTGGGTATTCCATGGACATTTACACAAGATGGGAATTCAAGTTGAAAGCCTCTTATGTTGGAAATGTGGAGAGGAGGAGGAGACAGCATTCCACGTGATATTTATGTGCCCAGCCCTACAAGGTCTGCGCATGAGATCCCTTTGGCCTCTTGACTGGAGATCAAAGGGAAGAACGAGTCACCATAGTCAAAAGGATCTTATGGTTCACAAAGGACCTGGGATTTGACAAAGAATGAGGACCTGTAAATGAGGGTGCACAATAAGCTGTTCTAGCTGCGCTGCAATCCCATGGTTACTTGAAGCCTGGCCCTCTATAAAAAAAGAACTACTCCCATCTCTTTTAAGATTTTCTCACATCTCTTTCCTGATAGAGGGTTATGTTGCAACTAAATATCATCGGTAAAATTCTACACTCAGGTATTTTTTTTAAGATTGTAGTTACTTTTAAAGCATAAATTGAAGCAAATGAGACACGCATATGTAACACATTCACATTCATAATAAAATCGTTTTCAAATTTGAAACTGACCAGTTATTTAATTTGTTTCAGGCCTTATTAAGAAATCAACAGACAACACAATTAAATAGGTTCCTTCATTATTATACCAGATTTAGAAATCATGAAAATAGTAGAAAACTTGAGGAGGGTCTACTAACAGGAGTGAGGAAGAAAATGGAGAATTTAGCATCGTCTTTGAAAAAAGGAGAAGGTAAGCAAAGCGAATACTCATACAAAATATCTTTATTAGACTACAGCTAAAAACAAAGTGAATTTTGAATGGATATGTTCATAACTAATTACACCAAGCGAATGGTATGGGAGTTATGGATCATGAGTGATTTTTTTTTGGTTAAGTGACTTTTTGAACTTAATGATATTGAGCTATTTCAACTATTTATTAATTTCAGTGCCTGCTGAGGTGAAATTTGTAGAGGAGGGAGTGAGAGAGTTGCTCAAAGCTCGCAGAATTTTATGCGGCTCTTATGTCTACGGATATTATCTGGAAGACAACGGTTATAGCAGAACTATTTTCGAATTTATGCAGGTAAATACTAATTTGATATGATCATGACTTTCCAATGAGTGTTGAATCCAATGAGGCTTTTCTTATACCTTGTCCTCCCCAGCCTACAAATACTATGTTATTTTGAAATGTACAAGAAATGTAAAGTGTTTTTCTAGCATAAGGGCAGGCAAATAAATTCTCTTGCTAGGTATGGTATGAAAAAATCAGTGTGTTTGGCTGTATAACTTAAAGAATATGTAAAGGAATCACAATTACAGGAACAATATTGTAATTGTGCTACAAAAACATTCAGTATCACTGATTATTTTAACATAACTTAGTTATGTGATGGCCGATAAAGCAAAATAACCAGCACCAAGTTGAACAGTTAACGATTATACCACCTACATTACAAAGATTGCTGAAAAATCAAATGACATTCACTTCAGTTACGATAAACAACAATAAACACTGTTCATTTGGAAATTTTACAGAATGAGTTAGAAGAGGTTACCGAGCGGCTGAGTGAGATGGTAGCAAGACCTTATCTTCGCACTCCACGCTCGGTAATCGTGCAGACAACAGCTCTTGCACGCAGGAAGAGACATGAGTTTGCACGAGCTGTGTCTAAAGGCCTTGTACCTCCTGAAACACCTCCTACGCTGCGCAAACTACGCAGGCGAAACTATCGGGTTGTTGCCATAGACACTAACAATGATGCGGTAAGTTTTAAACGGAGGTTTTTAACTGTGTTATTATAAACAGTTGAGTTATGAGAGGTCGAAATGTTTCTTAGACCTCGGTTCAAAGATTTCAAATACTTTATCAACACTTTATACATACGTATTAATGTGGTGATATTTATCTTATTCAGCTTCTGATCAGTCAAACTGTGGTACAAAAAGACTGAAAGGATTTGTGCAACTTGACAGCAATTAGCTCAAAAACAATGGTAGGTTTGGTTAAAAGTTTGATCCATCTGTTGACAAATATTTTGAACTTGATCGAAAAAATACATTTGGTGTAAAGTTTTTCACCAAAGAAAATATCCCGTTACCAACAGAAAAGTTCACTGGATGGAACTAATAGGTTATAACATATTTTTATTGGGTTCCAGCCACAAAAGAAAGCAAACATGCTTAACATATAGCCTAGGTTGTTGATTACAGGACTAATAACATTTACAATGGCGTCAGATAAAATATTTTTATAACTGTTTTGTCAGGAGCAAGTACAGGCCATCGCTGAGTCCCTGAAGGACCTGGACTCCAACAATCCGTGGGTGAAAGATGCTAGAGGTCGCCACAACAACCTCAGCGCCATCTACGATTGGCCAGACTTTGACTCTGATGATGAGGTGGGACTGCCTTCTAGATCTCACCCTTTAAAGTCAACTCGTTCCAGTAGTGTGACTATAAATCTATGACAAATAAATCTTGATGTTTTGTAGTTATAAACAGGGATAAGAGATTGTCAATTAAATTGCAAAATAATTTTAAGGATTTTACTTAAATTATTTTGAACCTGAAAATTAATCAAAGAGACTTAACAATATTAATAATGATAAACATTTAATACAACAATTTCTCCATTTTCTTGCAGCACAAACACTTTCAACAAATGAGAACTCATTCAAATTATAATCGTGGTGCTAGCTAGTATGGTACATTATGCAAGATGTCTCTAAGCCAGAAATAAACTTTTCTATCTTCTATGTACTAAATTGTGGAAATATCCAGAGAAGTTACAATTGGGGTGTTTTCTCATGGCAAACAGCATCTAAAATCCTGTATTTTTACTTTAATATTTTTCATTAAAATTGCAACCATACAAAGTAGGTAACCGGTACCACAAAATAGATGTAATATGCCGAAAGCACTCAATGCTGTAATTCCCATAAAAATATCCAATTGTTTAAAACTATGGAACTATGTTGTGAACCCATTTATGAAATGGTTAAACAGCCCGATTTGACAATGGTTAAGTTAAGAGCTTCTCCACCCCTTCAATTTTTGAATTTATGGACCAATTTTGTTTAGTTAAAAAAGGTGTGCAACAATTTTCATGCTGCTTTTATATCAAATGTCCATTGTTACTGAGATATTTTAAAAGTGCTAAACTCAATGAGTAAATAGCAAAATAAACCAGATTTTAAACAAAGTTTCTTAAATCAACTTTCTACAGAGAAAGTAATATGTCAACTGATCACTCTCTTGATGGTTAATCTAATATTTATTAACAAAAATGCAATCAATTCATCAAATATTTTATTTCAATATGAGTAATTAAGATGATGTTTGTAGGAGATGAACCATGCTCTGGCTGTGAGTCTGCTGGGTCAGTGTGTGCGTCTAGATTGTACCAAACCAAGAGTGCGGAACCCTAGGACATGTGTACTGCATAACTACTGCAGTCTACACTGCAGCCAGATAGACAAACTGGGCCTTCACCCTGACTGTGAGTACATTGTAGTAGTTATCAGAATGTGACAGTTTGATTCTGGAAAATGCAGTCTCTTTTTGGCGGTTCTAAACCAGACCCAGCTATTCTTCATTATTTTAGTAATAAGAAAGGGCATTGGCTAAAGAAACAAATCAGTAAGAAAGCAACATAAGACTACACCAGTGCATGTAAAAAGATTAAAATTAAAAGTTTCCCTGCCTTATCATGTTTAACTCCATAGACCAAAATCATATTCTTTTGTTATCACCACAACTAGAAGTCTTATTTTTTTTGTACTTGTCTATTTTTCAGAGAAGATGAAACAAAGAGCAGAGAGTGTTATTCAAACACTTTTTGGGAAAGTGTTCCAAACATTTTCTTTTCACGGTTGTGATTTGGATTTTTATTTTGGTGGACCAATGCTTTTGGGTAACGACTGTAAAAGTTAAAATAATATGAGATATGAGTTGCTCTATTACAATAATTTTTCTCCCAAATTCCTGAAGAAACAACTTTGTTTGTTGCATTAGATGTGTTACTGTTGTTTTACTCAATTTACAGTTAATGCAGTAATTTTTTTTCAGCTTACCAAGTAAACGTGACAGCAGACTATAACATGGACTTGGTCATAGCTCTGGAGATGTCTCGATTACAAATGATCGAAGATGAAATGAAGCAAAGGCAACAGAATCAAGAGCATAAGTGAGTGAAATATTTAACATTACTTTAGATATGTTTTGTCGATGACTTGTCAATCTGCAATGATTTTGAAATACAGTAAACTCTCTGGTTCTAACAACTTGCCACCACATCCTTATCCGAATGTAAAAGTCAGAACCATCTGAAGTTAATTAATTTGATACCTTTCCAAATTACAGTAAAATCAAAAATGAAATGCCACGATAATTGTTCATACTTAACAGCTTTAGACAAACAGATTGTGATTTTTTTTCTTACAAGGGTAAGAAAGTGGAGGGTTGGAGTGTGTAAATCATGGTGGCCGTAAGCAAACCGAACCGATTTGAACAAGGTCATACTTGGTCAAGAGATACTACATTTAATCAAAATTAAAAATTAAGTAAGTCCATACAAGTCTCTGGGTAAGAATTTGGATTCCTTACTCGAGTAGATATTAATAAATAAATTAATGGTATTTTTTGTGACTATCTCAACTGCTAAGACGACACTTAATTTTCTTGTCTGTTTTTAAATCTACAAAAAATATTCTTACTATGAATTCAGAGTTTTGAAAATGTTTTTTTTCTTTTCAGGGAAACTGAAACTTCCCCACCAGGACCGAGTACTGAGAGTACAGGTGAGTTCTTTAAAAACAAATAAATAAGTTTATACTTACTACTTCACTCATTTCCTGTTATTCCTCCAAGGAACATAGGGCAGCAACCAGGCCTCTCCAGCGTACTTAGCCGTAGGTCTCATAGCCGTTCAATAGAACTGACTTGTCGTTTCCAAGAGTCTCAGTTTCAATCTCAAGGGTATCTGCTAAGGGTAGTTTTATCAATTTTCAATTAGATGAGATGGGGACGCCACCTAGGTGTGTATTTTAACCCAAATATGAGTTAAGGATGAGTGTAAAATGATCAGCTTTGTTACTGACTAAAATCAACTGTTTCATCAGTAAGGATCATTTATTTAAAGCACAATGATCAAGAACAGCTGGGTCCAGTTTAGAACCATTAAAAAGCTACTGAATTTTCTTAGTATCGAACCGGGGATGTTTTTTTGTTAGGCGAGTTTATCTTATCTTACTTATCTTTATCTTACTTAACAAACATAAGGTTTATCCTCAATCATTGTGACACTTACAAACCTATTTTTAGAGGGAAGTAGAGGAGGAGGAGATGAGCAATTGAACCTTGCTATTCAGCTATCACTACAACAAGGTAGCGAACAATCATCGGTGGAATACCAGAAGACCAATGCTGACCTCACTGTGGACTACTTCCTTAAAAGTCTGGCTGGTAAGTGTGCCTGGATTTAGTAATGTCAATTTTCATGTTCTCCCTTCATCTTGTAAAAATATGAATTCCTATAAACATATACAGCTGTTATCTTCATTGATATTCAACAGTTAAAAATATACTGATGTTTCAGGGCGGGATATTGATGTACAAAACCTGGACGAGACTGAAGGATGTGAAGTGATATCACCACCTCAAGATACTATCTGGGCTTCAAAAACATCGGATAAGGAAATACTCTCTGGGTAATTTTGATTCAGCTTTTTCAACAATTGCTGTACAGTAAGCTATGATTGACATCCCTGGACAATCAAATCATCATCCGCCCCTTCACATCAATCAGCCAACAAACAATTACAACTACTACAATTATTATTGGTTCTATTTTTATTGGAACAAGTGAAAATTCCTAATGCCAAACAAATCGAACGAGTACATAAATTATAGAAAGGATCAGAAAAGCTGATTTGATTTTGAGATAAGCTTTAACACAACCATATCATTCGAGTCCGTAAAATTTTACAGACTAGTCCGCAAAAAGCTATCTTTAGGGACTCAAAACGATCTGTAAGACAGCTGATTTTGAGACAGTGTAATGAAAAAAAAATATTTTTAAAACATCCTGTACTGTCTGGAAAGAGCTAAATATCAAAAACTTTTTTATATACCCATTTTTATTTGGGTGTTCACAAGACCCCTGCGCACGCTCCAGCTTAGGGTTAACGTATGTTGTTAGTTTAAATCGGCGTAAAAGACAGCCTTAATTTACAGCAGTATACTCCTTATTCTAAAACTTAGCTACAATTTTTCATGGACTCTCTGCTAAAAAAGGATAAATAATTTTTTAAGGAAATTTCAAGATCAGATGTATTAGGCTTACATAATGGCTGGTTATGCCCAACCATAACATCCCATCCATTTATGCTTTGGATGTGTCTTCCAGTTACCCTCCAAGCCAAACTCACTAAATTAATATTTTGATTAAAAATAATGTAACATACCTGTAAAAATTAATCATCTTTAAACAGATGGAAGCCTCCATACGTGGCAGAAGATGGACATTTTGAGATTGGAGACATTCATGAGAAGGGACTGTACAACGACCCTGACGAGTTCAATAGTGAGATGGATGCTCGACTACTCAAGCGCTCGCACTCAACAGGCGACTTGGTGATGAGACGAGGGCGATTGTCTACCAGGACTGAGGAACCAAGGTAAATGAACAGCTGAAAGCTTACCAGAGTGGTCTGTTTTGTAGTTTTGCTCATTTGGTAAGAGCTGAACAAATTTAAAATCAGTAGTCTTTAAGAGAATTACTGATTAACTGTTTTAGTGTTGTAGACATTTATGGGGATTGTTTTAGACATGCAATAAATTTCCATCTCTTATAGAAACCTAGTGAGCAAAAACAATATTGTTCTTGCAGTATAAACGTACAAACATAAGATTGAGCTTCAAACAAAATAGCTGTTTTTTTTCACACAGGTATCATCTAGACTCGGACCACTCGAGCCAACATGAGGAGCGGCCAGAAGAGTTAGCACGTAGGATTCTAGCGCTGCCAGCGTCGACCTCAGGTAACCGACACTCGCTGCTAGTGCAGACCAGTGGAGGCAGCACCGCCTACTGTCAGAGCTCACTGGAAGACACCTCTGATTCCTTGAACGCTGACCTGGAGGTGTGCGGCATCCTAGGGTCGACTGAGGACACCAGTCGCTCCACACTGCCTCGTAACCTTGCCACCATTGGCAAGAAATGTGCCTTGGACCTCGGCGACTCCATGGCCATTCCCGACCCTCCCTCGGAGGCATCGGAGCAACTGTGCGACTCTGAGGTGCAGGAATGTCTAGACAAGCTCGCAGAAGAATTTCCTACAACTACATCTCCCCCACCCATCTTCCAAAATGTACCTGTTGTAAACATCAACGGGGAAACAAAAGATTTGGTCACCATGAAAATGAGTGATGAAAAGAAGGAAGAGAAAACACTACAGCCCAGGAATATGAATCCAACGATGGATGTGCATCGTAAAACACTTCGCTCGGGTGGGAAAACACCTTTGTCCAACCTGAGGATTAGGATATGTAATAAGTCTCCACCAAAAGAATGTGAGAAAGAGAAAAGGTCTTTGGAAACGGATAGTTCCAATGACTATGAGTCAGAAACAGGTCTACCCAAGTCACCTACATTATTTATTTCCGGAGTGTCCATCAGTCGAACCCCAGAACCAAAATCTCCTGCGTTAGCAGGCCGTCAGTCACGATCTTCTAGTCTGACTGCATCCCTTCCCCCTCCACCTCTATCCCCTCTCATGCTGTCACCTTTATCATCGTCTGTAGCACATCTTAAGGGTTCTTTAAACTCTTTAAACACTTTGGGGTTTTCATTTTTAAGAAGAAAATCTCAAGAGACAACTTCCAATACAAAAGCTGAATTCAACTCCATGGGTGGTTCTCCTCATAAACAAAAGGAAAATCCTAAATCTAAGTCAGCGAGTGAGCCAGAGAGGGAACGGGAAATGTTTCGGTTTCCCAAGTCTTCGACAGATGGGGCTCTGAGTTCAGTATTACACGTACAAGAGAGCAATTTGAGTTCGGACGACTTTCATGAGGCTCTTTTCTTGTTAGAGAGATCGCCTAAGAGCAACCAAGGTTCCAAAAAAAGGAAACGGAGCAAAAAAGAACGCCAGAAGGATAAGGAGAACGCATCCTCAGCAAATATAGTTGTTCCCGAAGCAAGCTCGGCTCTTTGAGGCTTGATGACTTTCCTATCGGACTTTAAACTGTCAAAATTGTGTTCTATATAGGACATAAGGCTCTCTAACGCACACGCAACACAATTTACTTTGTGTCAATGCAACTCCCAATCTATGTTTGTTTGGATGTTCAATACAGGTTGCATCAATTATTACACAATTAAATGTAGGGTCACTGCTTTTAAATCTGTGCCTAAACACCATTTTTGTTTCGTGGGACCTGCCATTTAATTTCTTATAGTGTCCTAAATTTAAAGAGAGCCTCAAGGTGGTTTACTCTTTAATTCCATCTCAAGATTTCATCTCCATTCCTAACCTGTATTGAACCCATCACGAATCTCACCTAATTGTAAATATGTGTACTGATTTAAACTTATAACAAATCCTACTCATTTAAAGTTCATACTACAAAAGTAAGTGTACTGACCAAATATATCATTACAATAACACTTTAAAATGTCAGTATTTTTTTGTAAGGAAATTGTTCATCATTACAAGACTGTTGTAAAATTAACTAAATTGCTGGCACAAGATGTCTGGCAGTGATTGTTACATCTGCTAGTCGCGCACCGACCACTACGTGTGTCTGCGCACAATCACATTCTAGGTTAGTGTGACAACTGCCAACGATGTGTGTGTGAGTGAGTAAAAGTGTGTGCGTCTGATATGTGGACCTTCAGCTATGTTGGCTGTTTCATCTTATAAACGGCCATATGTTTAATTTGTCAGACAAAAACCAAAGGTCGGTTTCTGTAACCTTTAAAATGTTCTAATTTGATAATTCCAATCAATATTACTAGTCCAAACACTTATAAAATATTTAGTTCGCTGCTGATCGCTCATGACAAATTTTTCCCACATTAAATTTCGGACACTGTGTTGATGCATTTTTTAATGACGAGCCAAACAATTTTTTAAACAGTAAATATTAAAATTCTAGATAATTTTCCTGGATTACCTTTGTAAAGTTTTTTCTTCTTACATAATAGAGTTTACAATAGCCGAATGCCGACAACAAATAGCTTAAGGTCCAATCTTATAGGCTATGTCCATAACCCCAATGCAAGTGATGTAAATATCGTGCTAAGTCTTTCATTAGATAGGTTTTTATTGAATCAATGTTCTGAAAACATCGTAAATAGATTACGCTTAATTAATATGTCTGAGTAATAATTCCTAAAGTTAAAAATATTTTAAAGTTTTTACCAATTTACTCTTTAAATCAACTAAATGGATGAATAAACTGATTTAAATTATCTAATAGTTATTTGTATACCAAAGATGTATAAATATTTCTACAATTTCTTATGATGGACATAGCCTATATATTCTTCTTTAGTATAAATTGCATGCATGTAAAATGTTAAAAATACTGGTAATAACATTGTTTTAATGTTTATCTTTTATAGAGAATAAATAAATACCGATCTACACTTTAACATTTCTTAACGGTTGTGTGTGGCAAAAAAAAAAACAAATTAAATATGCATTTAAAAGTAAAAATAAACTAAGTAAATTTGCACTAGTTAAGTAATTAAGAAATGCACAGCAAGAACCATATTTTATTTTGTATTTTTTTCTATCACAATGAATTTATTTTTTTCATTAAGCAATGAATTTAACAATTAATATTTTAAAACGCTAACTCAAGAATACATTTCTAAGTTGGCTAAGTTATCTTTGAATAACTAATAACAATTACCAGTTTGTGATCTGAATATACCTACAATGCTTTTCTAAATCTAGTCATTGATAGTATATTGTAAAGTTCAATCAATCATTGTAATCAATACTTTAACTTCAGTTTTAACTGTAAAACTCCAAATTAAGTTTTAATATAAAATTCTGTAAGTAGAACATTGTAATTTGTACTATTCAGGTAGTTTGTGCCAAAATGTAATAGAACTACCAAACTACGTTACCATTTTAAGACTGGATTAAATGCTTTTTATTGTCAGGTTTTAGTATGTACTTATTTTTATGTAAAATCTGCTTAATTTAAATTTATATTCATACAATAACATTTTTTCCTTTAAACTTTGCTTTAATGACTTAAAGCAGTTAGCTTATGCAGTTATGCTTTTAGCAGTTAGTTATTAAATGGAGCTTATTTTATAATTCACAAAAAGTTTTTCATGAATAAAATATTGTTTGTTTTCTCTAAAAAGAAAAGTTCTGTTGACAAAAAAAGATAGAAATTCATCCTAAAACTGTAAAACATTTGGGTTTTTTTTAATTTTACAATTTGGATTGTTTTAAGATGGTTTCTGTGAAATCATTTTGTAGCTAAGCAAAATAACCAGGTACATTGAAAGATTGAATTCCATTTGAATAAGACTATGTTTTGTGTTTGTATATAAGACTGACTGTATACACTTAACAGTTTACAGAATTTGATCCTTTCTCAGAAGTCAAGTTGGCGATAAAAATCTGAGTAGACAGCAAATATTTAAATTTTCAGAAACATTATTCAGAAATCTTTTGTCTACACTGAGAACAAAAAAAAATATTTTGGCACTATAATATTTTTCTTAAAAGTAAATTTTATTATTACTACTGCATATTTGAAACTGTTTAGCTTTTGATTGCTGGTTGATTTGAATATTGTTTGAGCATCAAACTTCATTCTTTGCTTAATTTCTCTCTCTGATTCTGAGAGAGACAGTTTAGTAAACTGTCCCAAAGTTAAAACAAATAGTGTGTAATGGTTTGAGTTACCCTTCATTTTGACTGGCTGTATTGACCCCGTGTGATAATACTACCTTAGGACTGTCTATAGTTGTAGGATTGGGAGAAACCAATATTTTTTTAGTGCTATGAGTCATTTTAGTGTTTTACCTGGATTTGATGGCATTGAAGGCTTTGAAGCACCTGAACCAGGTGTATTTTATAGCTGAAGTGCACAAAAGATTAATGTTTCAAAACTTAAAAGAACAGCAGAAATCCTGTTTTGTTTGAATTGTTTATGAACTAGATTATACTTAAACTCTGAGGGTTAAGGTTTGAATTAGGAGGTTATTACTTGGCATTCATTTGCTTGAGGAAATTAATTGAGCACAAAAGGCATATGTAGTGGCTATGGGGGTCTCAATCCCAAAGCTTTAATGCAATCCTGGTATTTTGGGATTTGTCCAAGCCGATAACGGTATTGATCCTAGGATTCTATTATTTTATGGTTTTTTTACTTAAGTTTTAAATGGCAGTGGATTCCATTGGTTGAGCTCTCTATTGTTTTAAGCTTGACTTGTAAAAATTGTATACTGCACACTTTTGCCGTCTTTTGATATTTAAAACAGTACCACTCATAACCTTTGACACCCGTATTTCTTATTTACAGCATTTACATTCTGATCAGTAATTCTTGAAATTATGAATTACACATGTAATGTTTGCCATATCAATTACGTTCTCACTCATGTTTCATGTCAAGTAAAACTCAACAAAAGATTGATATAAAATATGGGTTTTGGTTTTTTAATCCTGTTGATCACAGGATCAAGAGATCCAGGATTTAAAGGTTTCAAAAACCAGCCAGGAGCCTGGGACTGAGACCCCTAATCGACTATCAAGAGGAACATAACCAAACCACGCCTCATTCTACATGTACTGCCATTCAGGAATCTTTAAAATCTTTTAAGTCTGTTAAAGGACATTAAAATCTTTTTTGCTACACCAGTGTCTGAAATTTTTAACTTTTTCTGTCGCACTCTAGCTTAAACTTTTGTAGTAATATGTTTTACTAGCATATTTCATTTGGTTGTTTTTTTTTTTGTTTTTTAGCGAATTTCCTTATAGGGAAGTAGCTATTACCGTAGGTGGCACGGTAAGACCTAGACCCGGGACCGATTTACTTTTTCACTTTGATGTCCCCAGAGGCCAAAAATACCATTCGTTCAAATTTTTATATATGTATATATATATATATATACGTCCGTGAACGCGATAACTTGAGTAATTTTTGTCCGATTTTGATGAAATTTGGTTTAAAGGTGTAAAGCGGGATAAACTTGCATGAGTTCGCGAACCAGCACGATCGGACCATGGGAACGGGGCTTTACGGGGGGTTTTATGGGGTAAAAATTGGTTTTTCTCACTTTTGACCCTCAAAACACAAAATTTCCCGATTTCTCTTTAGACCCTTTTAAAGAGCTTAAAAAAACAAATAATTTAGTATATAAAAGTATTTTTGTTTGATTATTAGTAACGGAGAAAATTAAAAAAATTGTAAATTTAAAATTCCCGTGTTATTCTTATGGAGAATATTGTCAAATGTTGTAGTTTGCTTGTTTATGGATATATTTTGATCAAACTTGGCAAATTTATTTATTTTGTACTAAGCTATCAATATTTTACTCAAAAACACACTTTATTAGTTTCCTTGTAGCAGCAAACCTAGGTACTCGTTAAACCTAATGTTATTAAAATATATTTAACTGAAAATCAATTCAGACAAATGGAAATTCGCTTAGTCGGCAGGTTTGCTGCGGCGGGGGTATTTTTACAGTATAACCTAAACTTTTTAAATATCTCCAAAGATCAAAACTGAGATGGTAAATACTATGATATTTCAGTTTTTATTTTACTGAATAAGCAAAACTGAAATTAAGAAACTCTGGCAATTAAGAGGAAATTAAGATAAACTTTACTTTGCTGTATTTAAATTAATTCTTCAACTGTTCACTTTGGATTTCTTAGCCTATTGGTTTCTCTGATGAGCTAATACCCTTTCTACTATGAAACGTAAGAATGTTAAGGACCAATTGTATATGTTTAGACTAGATTATAATTTTCTTCTGTCTCTAATTTACATAGTACAATATTTTTAGCTATGAGTAGGACCATTTGAGGGCTGTATTCTTCACTTAGGCCTAATATAAAGACTTCGATCTGTTTAATTTTTAAAGCATAAATCTCGCTGCTATAGTTATTCTTTTCTGTAGAGTAAGCCTTTACTTTTAAAACCATTTTAAAATTAAGAACTAATATATGAGCTTTATATGTGTAAAAATAAGTAAACTTGTAGTTTAAAACCAATAAAAACTTATTTAAAAGAACTGAAATTTACTACCTTAAACTTCGTTGAGAGGAAAATAATTTTAAATTGAATACAAAATACTTAGTAAACATACCTGGTCAATGGACATTAACAGTATTTTTTATCTTACTGTAAAGACTGTGAAATTTAAGTATTTCATCAATTTCTGTACTGTAAGTTAGTTGCTAAGCTCATTTTAACTATAGTTGAAAGTGGTGTAGAGTCGTAATATTATATTGAATCTGCTCTTACAAGTTTTAAGGTGCCAAGTTAGAGAGTTAACAAAATACCATTTTAATCCCGTTCTAAGCCTGATTTAGCAGTATATCTGAATTAACGATTTGTACATTATTACTTAAGCTGTAGTTATGATTAATTATAATTTTTACGAGCTTCAATACTGTTAAGTCAATACTGTTTGTTTGGTATTTGACTGATAATAATGTGTTGAAAGAAATAAAATTATATTGGTCAAAATAAGAGCTTTGTTTCACTATCTCAACCATTTTTTCTCTTTTCAATCGCAAGAGGAAAATGAAACTACCAAGTTGTTGACTGTTTTTTAATAAAAAATAAATTACAATACAATATAACAAATAAATAATATTAAATTATTAACTGGGTTAAAGTACACTAATTATAACTAACTAAAGGTGCTTCTATTTACAGTGAATATTTTGGTCCTCCCTGTTAAAATGTATATTTAACAGTTTCAAAACTGACTGAAGCTATTATTGATACAGTAGACTACCGACTACCCACAAGTGGATTAATCACACTGTGGAATAACCACGATCGTAAGAGAAATTTGAGTTAAAACATATATGGACGTTATTAAGTGATGAACAAAACGTTTGGCGTAGTGAGACACTCACGGTCAGACTATAGAGTTATCTTTATTTACTTCACCGTCCACTATGAACCATTGATTACACCTAACGAGATGGTAAGTTACATTTTGTATGTGTTTTAATTTTTTTATTACTAGGCCTATGAATAATATACTCTTCAATATTGTTTGTTTTAAAAATATAAGTGTGTGAAACAAATTTTAAAAAGCTATTTATAATTCACTTAAACGTTATATTATCTAAACCTGCATTAAAGCTTAACTATACATTCAAAGTTATTTCCCAACTAGTTCAGGTTGGGTTTGCATTATCCACGATTTAGATTATCCATTGATCACTCAGCCACTCATTATCAAGGATGATCGGGAGTCTACTGTACAAAGAATTTACTCATAATGTCTGGACATCAAGATTTTTTCTTCATTGTGTTCATTAAGCTTGGATAGATGATTTTTTACTTATTGGTTGGTTTAGAGTAATTGTTGTTTCAATTTCAGACTGAGATTGACACTTAGCTACAGTAAAAGATTTCTGAATTGGAATTAAAGATATTTAGTTGTGAGTAACATGTAACGTTTCAGTACAGTATTAGACAAATAAACTAAAAACACAACCTAGTTTTTAGCAAAGTATTTAATTATTTCAAGATCAAACAAGATGTTACCTAAACCATTTGTTTACTTTCAACTCCAAATTTTGATTTCAGACTTATTATTTGTATACCTACTTAAAACTGTAATGGTAAAACTGAAGTAAACATTTACATGAGAAAAGTATGTCTAAATTATTAATGTAAAATGGTAGAAACTAAGAGATTTGGTATTTTGAATTTTAAAAATAACTAGCTGTAGGCTTACAAGTACAATTTGGTTAAATTTTTACAATCTAGGATAAAATAAGAGCCAGCTGTATCATTACATACCACTTGTCTAAGAACCATAGTGAATTAGATCTTGATTTACGTGGACTCCGTAAACCGTTCACTTTAGCTCTCATTTACACATGCGAGTTGACTCTATCTTCAAACCTCAACAACCTACACTGGTATTTCAAACCCACTGCCAAGACTTACAAATGTTATAAGTCTGCCTTGGGCCCCATGTTGAGCGGAATGGCCTTGAGCTCTGTTCGCATACAGAGGAACTCTCCGCAGATACACATGATGGCAAGACACGCGATGTGCAGCAACCACCAACTGATGGACGAGGGAAAGTGTCCATTGTACGTCCAACAGATCACCAGGTGTATAAGATGAGCAGTACATGAAAAGTCTAGACACTGCTTAGTCCTCTGCACTAGGCACCACAGACCACAGGCTCTAAACATATACAACATATACTTGATATATTTTTTTATCTGACTTTTTTACTCCAGATTGGGACGTGTTGGAGGTCTCTGGCCAAAAATGTGGTTGAAAAACTTTGTTTGCTTGGTAATATATTGATTTTTAAATATTAATCATAGTACTACTAACGGTTTATACATAATATTGTACATAATCTCTCCCATATTGCAGACATTTCTCTCAGTGACAACAAAATCTAGAACTCCTTCTACGGTCTTGACAAAATTGTGAACGCCTTCCGCAGTCACAGTAACATCAAGAACGTCTTCCATGGTTACAGCAGACTTGTGAACATCTCCTGGGGTTACTGCGATATTATCATCTTCATGATCACGGCGAAACCGAGAATATCACACACAAACATGACAAAATCGTCTTTTTTCAAATGCGCATCTTCACAGGCATGGCGAATATGCATAGCGAAAATAAAAGCTTGACTCAGTTCAACCCAACTTGAATTAGGCCCCGAACCGATCCCTCAGGTCAACTGTTGACCCAGCCCGATCCAAAAAATATCGGAGACCTGAGGACCCCTAGTAATTTACGAGCGGTTAGACCAAAATACTTGATGTACGGTATGTGAAACTAAAAGGCCTTTACAGGAAATCAAACGTTGAAAACGTTGATGAATCAGGAAATCAGGACAAAATCGTAAAGATATTTTTAAGTCACAACAAAGTCAAGAACAGATGAACGTCTTCTAGGTCGAGATCGTGAACATGTCCAGAGGTCAGGGTAAAAACAAAAACATATTCTGCTGTTCCAGCGAAATTGCAAACATCTTCCTTCCAAAGCCACTTTTTGCAGAGTTTTTGAATGTGAATAATAGCTTAAAATCTTGGTTTTAAAAATATTTATATTCAGAAGAATGTTTTTATTTTTCTTAAATCTGATTGTTTTGGGTTTGGTCAATTTTAATATAATAATTTAAATCTAAACTTACCCAGTTAAAGAGTTGAGGACAAAAGAAGCGATTATTAGCTTTCCCGGTACATCTCGAACATGAATTTCCTGAAAAAGACATCTATACTATTATAAAGAAGAGGTGGTGTCTGTGTGTGTGTTTGTATGAGCTAATCTCAAAAACTACTGGTCGGATCGGGCTGAAATTTGGCATGATGATAGCTCACATTCCCGATTAACATATAGGCATATTTTTATCCCAAAAAATCCTTCGGGGCTCCGCCCCAGTGGCTCTGGAGTTTCCCATGTTAACCTTATGAGAAATGGAATTAATGAATCTTAACAGCTGTTTCAATTAAACAAGTTGGTTCTGTTCTATGATGTTCAATAGCATTAAAAGTTACAAGGATTACCAACAGGGTTCAGCACTAGCACTATTATTTCTTTTACATTTGTGACAACAGCAAAAGGTGAGTGAGCGTAGCGAACGAACTTCAACCTGGAGGCGAGTGAGCGTAGCGAACGAGCTAACCTGAAGGCAAGTGAGCGTAGCGAACGAGCTAACCTGAAGGAAAGTGAGCGCAGCGAACGAGCTCCAACCTAAAGGTGAGTGAGCGTAGCGAACGAACTTCAAAAAGAACCGAAATTTCTTAAACCATGTCCTCACTCATAACTGCTATAAGCATTTGATACTTATATGCCAACCCCGTACGAAGGACGGGTACTCTGCTAGTTTCAAAATAAACTTTTACATCCTCATTATTATTTAGGTCATATCAGGCCGTTATGTGCAGATCAATGTGTTACTAGACCATTCCATGACATCATCTGACATTATCATCTTTTGAAGCTGCAATTTTCCAATTTTTTGCAAAGTCTACACCGAACAGATATTAGGTATAAAATAAGGTACAATAAGGTTTAGGTAAAATAATGTTAGACAAAATGGGAACTATGATCTTTGGGTTAATGTCAATAAGTCCTTAAGCAACACATTTATCTTTGGTGGTGCTGACAAATATTTTCGTAGGCAGACTACCTGTGATCTTTCTGCTATATGTCTGTTATCACACAAACCTCTAGTTTTGGATCAAAATGTGTAGAAGGCATTGGTTACAAGGTTTTGGCGTATCAACATATGACTAGGCTATATAGGTCATTGACAAAGTTTCAGTCACCCATAAAAGTTATGATGGTGGCTTAACTTATATGTAGCCTAATGTTACGCCTAAATTATCTGAGACCACCACATTTTATATGAACCACAAAACATAAAAAAAGTCAAATTAATTCAATCACGGTCAATAGACCATCTTTAATAACGTTAAATAAATCTATTAGTTAAATAATACTGTCATCAATCCTTATTACTCTTTAGAAGTAGGCCTACCTATTTTGAAACAGTAATGTACATTGATATATTGAGTAACCTAAAATGTAATACTTACTTGATAGCGGAATATGTGATCGAGCGATCTTGAAGTGCCAACTAGCAAATTGACCGCAGCCAACCATAGTCCAAGAGCAACATAGTAGACACTCTGAAGTGCTATGATCTGAGCGATAATCAACATCGGATCCCACTGAGTGCTGCGAAACTGTCCTGTCAACTTGGTCATTTTGGACTCAGATCTTGGCTGTCAAACAACAACACAAAATTAAGTTAAGTGAAGTAGATTGGCTGATATATCAAGCGTTCAAGAAGTTATAAGTTATGAATGAAGAATTCTTATTTAGAACCTTGAGACAGCTGAGGAAACCGAGCCTAATTTACCGAGGGAACGATATGGAATCATAGTAACATTGTACATTGTATTATCTTAGTAACATTGTACATTGTATTATCTTAGTAACATTGTACATTGTATTATCTTAGTAACATTGTACATTGTAACATGTAACATCTTAGGAACATTGTACTGATACATAAACAGAGTAGGCAATGGATAAAAAATTAAGTTTTTTGTACATAAAGCATTCACAGTACGAGTGCAGCATTAATTTAAGAGTGATTTATAGTGGTGTAACTATACGAGGAGTGATGAGGGGGATAGATACTTTAAAATACTTTTAAATATTTGTGTTACAGCAATCCTAGGCTACTTCATTAAAATACAGTTGCTCAAGTTGCGTGTAGTTTGAAACTGAAACTGATGATTAAGTTTTGATTAATTGTTGAGGGAGTTTTATGCTCTCTAGAAATGTTAGTTACTAGTATTTAACTTCTTAAAAATATAATTACATACTGTAGGGTAGGTTGGGGTAATTAAGAGACAAAATGTCAACTTTCATCATAACTATTTTGCCCATTACACTGAGATCGAATAAAAGTATGTGTGGTAAATAAATCACGTAAATAGGCCTATTGGCGTTTAGAATATGTTTAGCGCGGAATAATATGTGGAAGTCTCCTGATTTTTTTTATGATTAATATATTTAAATTGCATGTTTACGTAGAATTGCACGTTTTCAAATAAAAAAGCAACCTGCTTACGCATTTTTGATACCGTATTGATATTTCATTATGTTTCACCCACTAGGTATTTAATTGTGCAAAAACAGTCTGGAAGTTGCATAAATTAATGAATCGGTTCATTATAACCTAACCTTTACCTTCCTAATCTAACCTTACTTCAAAACACTTAATACAGTCACAAATACGCATAAAACCCAACCTCACATCACATGCCTAAATAGCTATGTCCACACTCATGGGCTTTCAATTTCAATGTGCCTTTCAACTTTCAATTCAACATGCATCAATGCATGCGTTATTGCATGCGCTTGGAGGCATGCCTTTCAGCTGTCCACACTCATGCCTCACTTTTTAGATGCCTTTTCCAAGATTGATGATGGATGAAGACGACGCTATCCTGCTAGGAGGAATTAGTGCGGCATAATTAATCTTCTATAAAATCGAAGCGATAATTATATAATATATAATTATTATAGCCTAGGCTATATATTTAATTATTATAGGCTATATTTAATTATTATATATTTAACTAGCTGTACCTGCGGGCTTTGCCCCGTTTAACTTCACAAGTGAGCTCGTTCGCATGGCTCAATCACGTCCTGGTTGAAGTTCGTTCGCTACGCTCACTCACCTTTTGGTTGCAAATTGGCTGTAGTCATAAATTTAAAAAAATAATAGTGCTGCACCCTGTTGGCAATCCTTGTACCTAACTTTAATGCTATTGAACATCATAGAACAGAACCAACTTGTTTAAATGAAACAGCTGTTAAGAAATTCCTTTTAAGTATGAAAAATCATGAGGTTAACATGGGAAACTCCAGAGCCACTGGGGCGGAGCCCGAAAGCCCGATCAGAATAAAAACTACTTAGTTTTTCTATTTAGCCTAATGCCCAAAGAATCGGTGTACCGGTACCGAATTTCAGCCTCCTAGGTAAACGGGAAGTGGGAGAATTAGTGATGAGTGAGTGAGTGAGTGAGTCAGTCAGTCAGTCAGTGAGGGCTTTGCCTTTTATATATTTAGATTATTATATATTTAATTTTTTACATATTTAATTTATATATTTAATAAATATATTTAATTATTATATAATATATTTAAGCGATAATTAATAATAAATTTGAGCGATAATCTTCTATGAATTCTAATGTTTCGTGGTTATTCATGTTGCTCCAAACTACCACAACACGGACGACTTGGCAAAAATGTAAAGCAGAAAAGTCAAAAATGTTGCAAGTTGAAATGCACAGAAATCCAAGGCTGGTGGATCGTCTTGCGCTATGAAATGGAGCTCCTTCCGACTCAATACGGGCATGCCTTGACGCATGCGTTACTTGCGTCAAGGCATGCGTTAAGAGGCATGCGCTTGGCGCACACAAAAGCGCATGAGTGTGGACATTGCTATTAAGAACTGATTACCTATTTGGTTTCAAAACGAATTGATTTCAATCCGCATTAAGTCGAGTATAAACAGCTGTTTGCTCTCCTCATCACTCAGTCCTCAGATCACGCCATCAGTGTACCGCTCAATGAACCTTAGATTCGTAATTTTAACCTTCGTTTTACGGCCACTTAGTATTCTCTCCGACAAAAACTGATTGCATTTTTGGATTCAGCGTGAAAAACTTTTAGTAGACATTTAAAAACTACACGATATTGTGTTGTAGACATATTAAATAATTGTGATTATCAATTACTAGGCCTAAGTTAAACAATATTTTCAATTTGATAGTTTCAATCGATATTAACATAACCCAGTTAAGAAACTATACCCCATTTGCGTGTTGGAAATCGGCATATTGAGAGGTTTAAACAAAAGCAACCAGCAATAGAGTTGGCCTTAGTAAAAAATGTAAAATGTTGTTTATATGCTTTAGGTTAAGTTAGGTGTGTGTTAGTGGCGGGGTTAGGAATGGTTAGCCTAAGTATATCCAATATGTTTAGCAAAATTTTTCTGACGACTAAATAGATTCTTTGCTTAAGGCCATAATCTAGGCCTAATTAAAATTAAATGTGATAAATAAGGCTATGCCTCATTTATAACAAGCAAACATACACGACCCTAAGCTTATTATATTATACCATACCATGCAATTTTTAAGCTAAGCTACTCACATTTAATACAATCATTGTGCTGAGATAGGTATGTTACAGTTTGACAATCCGAAAGCCTAACCTAACTAAACCAAATATATTTTTTATGACGTAATACTGCTTCTAGTTTCGGTGGTTTTTGAAACTCTAGGCCTATAGCCAATGCAACACTCACTGGCCTAGCCTAAGATTTATATTTTTAACCTGACAGATGTGAGATGACAGACTTATAAGTCTTGTGACAGTTAGCACGACAGTATTAATTTCAATTTGACACTTTGACTTGGTTAATTTTTAAGACGGACTGGACTAGTGGACTGAGGACTGACTGAGACTGAACACTGAACACTGAAAGACTGAACTTTGAAGCCTGGAACCTGGAACGAAGTGACTATTCGCACGTCAAAATAACGTCACAACCCGTTCCCGTTGCAGTTCCACTATTACAAAATAATGAAAAGGGAACAGTTACTTTTTTTCTTTTCCACAATAATTCTATTGGCTCTCGAACAGGAACACCATTACCGCAACGATACAGTGATAAGCTAACGGCCTCGGTGGTTTAATGGATAGCGTACCGGACTGTTGAACTGAAGATAAGTTAGCAGGACCGAATCACAGATAATAAACCCCTACTATATAGTAGGGGTTATATTATCTGTGACCGAATCCTACCAGAGGCATTATAACTTTTTGTCTAAGATTTAGATTAGAGTGCGATTACATCTTTTGTTACAATTTGAGGCATTTATAATTGTATTTTATGAACAGAACAGAACTATTTTTCGATTAATAAACCTTCATTAGATTTTTTAATTATCAGCAAGAGTTTGGTTGGTTTGGTTAGGTTATGACAGTTTAATTTAACCTAACCAAACCAACCAAACTCTCTGATATTTCCCGTCTATCGTGTGGTACTCCTTGGAATATACTTTTTAAGTTTATGCACAGCCTGTCCATCCAAGCTTTACCTGAAAGCATCCCTATATTTGGGTGTTAGCTCTCTGTTCTTTTTTATTTCGACCTCCGGGCCCGTTATCTTGAACTGGTCTGTATATTTTCTCTGCACTTTATTATCTAACCCAGCATTAAGGTTTTTCGGTTCTTTGGTCAGTGCCCAAGTTTCTGAATCATCAGCACTACGGGGATAGTTGGTATGGTATGAGTCGACTTTGGTTTCTGCTGCACCCTGCAGTTTATTTGACAGTTTTATATAATAGAGACCTACTACACCGATTGTCGCTTTCATTACTAACCAAAATTTTAGTATGCCGACATACTCACATTCAAACATAGGTACAGAAAAAGAAGTACCAACAAGTAAACCACTTATATCTTAAACAATTAAGCGATAAACTGCTGGAAAATATTTCCCAAATGAGTTAAAATTTGCAATGCATAAACTAAATACTTACACAGATTGCATTGCCAAAAACTGAGTGTTAAATAGTTTTGTTATAGTATAATATTTTAAGCTGAATGAATATTTAGTATGCAATGGAACAATGATTCAGTCTAATTTAATAATAATTTGGTCAGCTGGTTTATTGGTTTCAAAATAAATGAAATGAAAAGAACATGAGTTTTATTAGCAAAATAATTTAAATTGTTAATATTGAACATTGGTGCCGAAACTTTTGCGAATCAACTAAATGTCGACTACTGGAGCATTTACAAGGTCCAAAGTCAAGAAGTCTGCTATAAAATCTCAGGATTTTGATGGTAAAAATAATGAGGCAGTAAGTGATAAGCATATTCCTTTGTCGGTAAGATCTCATAAAACTAGCTCAAGTAGGAGTAGGAATGAAAGTGTTTTAGAGGTTATGGACGAATTGATTAAGATACAGGAAGAAGCGAAACGTCCCTTTGTTGTATCATGTGCTAAAGCAAAGGCGGCGGCGGAGAAAGCAGAGGCAGAGGCAGCAGTAAAAATAGCAGCAGCTGAAGCAGAGGCAGAGGCAGCAGTAAAAATAGCAGCAGCTGATGAAAGACTTGCCCGAGTGGAGGAAGAAGCCAAGCGGAAGGAAATAGAAATGAAGAAGAAGCTACTTGAAGACAGACTGTCATCGCTTAGCAGGGAATCGTCAAGAGTCAGTAGCAGATCATCTAGGACTTCAATTTCTTCTCTTCCACGACCGTTGCCCACAAAGGAAGCTGTTGAAAAGTGGATGCAGACAAAGGATCAAGCTGAAGACATTAATAAAAATAACGTTTTGAAGCCTTGTACTAATGTTCCAGTAAATATTATGAAGAGTGTACAGCAGGAGGTATCCTTGCCGCATCACGAAGTACATAGTCTAGTTTCCAGCCTCGAGAAGAAAACTGTGAAAATCCTCGAGAAGCAAGGACTGTAGCTTTCAGCGAAGGAAGGAGAATTCCTCGAGATGTTTTGTGTTTCCCTCAAGATTGTCAATCTGATAAAATGATATTTAGAGAGAAGATGCCGGCGAGAATATTGTCAGCTCTACCTAATTTCAGCGGAGATCTAGACCAATGGCCCGCTTGGATAGCTGAATACAGGCGATCTACTGAAATTAATGACTACACTGATTTGGAGAATCTTCAAAGACTTCAGAAGTGTATTTCTGGAAAAGCTAAAGAAATGATATCAGCACTGTTGATATATCCTGAGAACGTACCAGAAATTGTTAATTTGTTGGAACGGCGTTTCGGAAGACCTGATATAATTATTAAAAATCTCATAGCAAGCGTGAAAGGTCGACCACCAACTAAGGACTACAAGCCTGACACTTTGGTTGCCTTTAGTGACATGGTAAGGAACTTAGTAGTTACGGTAAAATCCTTGAAGCAGGACCACTACTTGTTTAACCCACAACTTATGGAAGAGCTCACAGAAAAACTGTCCACCAACATGAAGCTCAACTGGGGAATGTTTGTCACTTCACCACAGTCTCAATTGAAACAACCAATTGGCCTCGACAGCTTTTCGACGTGGCTCTCTTCTGTGGCGGATGCAGCAATTATATGTACTCCCAGTACATCTACTAGTGGAAACTTTAAAAACATGTCATCAAGAAATGAATCAAACTCCAAGAACTTTGTATTAGTACAACATGAAGGTGACAAGAAGTTTAAAAAACGTATATGTGTTTGCTGTAAAAAACAAGACCATACATTGACAGAATGCAAGCTATTCCTAAAGTACGATGTAAATAAAAGATGGGAGACAGTCAAGAGTAACAGTCTGTGTTTCAATTGCTTGAAGACTAAACACCGAGCGATGACTTGTCGTAACAAACTTGCTTGTGGAGTTAATGGCTGCACCTATTTCCATAATAAACTGTTACACGTGACCTCAAAAGAAGAAGGTGCTAATAAAAAGACACCTAAATTGGAAATTCACAGTGAACATATGGGGTTTCAAGAAGAACCTGTTGCAAGAGTGTTGTTGAGGGTTCTCTCAGTAACATTGGTAGGAAAAAATGGCAAGCAAATTGAAACATTTGCTTTAATTGATGACGGTTCAACTATTTCTGTCATCGAAAAGGGATTGGTTGAAGAACTCGAAATTGATGGACCTACTAAACCTGTATCTTTCTCCTGGACAGATGGATCTGTTTATACAGAAAAAGAATCTCAGACTGTAACACTGACAGTTATAGGAGATACAGGCGAACACTTGACTCTAAACAACGTGAAGACTTTGACAGCCTTGCAGTTACCAATACAGTCTATGAATTCAGAAAAAATGAAAAATAAATGGTCTTATTTACAGGAAATCCCTGAAGAAGTGTTTCAGCGTGGTCGTCCACGACTACTGATTGGACATGAACATGTACATTTGACAGTGCCTCTGAAAGTAATCATTGGACCTACAAACGCACCGATTGCTTTGAAGTCGAAACTAGGTTGGACAATAAATGGTCCTACTGGAAATGTAAACTATCAAACTCATATAGACAACGACTTTGTTATGTTTAAACATGAAACAAATTCAGATATGTTGGAGCTTAACTCACTAGTTAAAGAAAGTTTTGAGAGGGATTTTATCGACTGCCCGATTAAGGAATCCAATAAAAGTGATGAAGAGGTTAGAGCAGAAAAAATATTGGAAAATACCTGTTCACAAACAGAAGATGGTTGTTGGCAAACTGGTTTGTTATGGAAAGAAGACAAACCATGGTTACCAGAAAGTCGTTCCGTTGCATTGAAGAGATTTAACTACGTTGAAAATAAAATGAAAGAGGACCCAAAACTATGTCAACAATATCATCAGAAAATAGCAAGTTATGCTGAAAAGGGATATGCAAAAAAGTTAAATTTGGATGAGGTGAAGAACAAAAGTGAGAAAACCTGGTACCTTCCTCACTTTCCTGTCTACAATCCCAGAAAACCAGACAAGTTCCGTTTTGTGTTTGATGCTGCGTCAAAATCACATGGAAAGAGCCTGAACAGTTGTCTACTACCTGGACCAAATTTATTCAATAGCCTGATAAGTATTCTGTTCCAGTTCAGAAAACATGAAATCGCATACGCAGCAGATATTGAAGAGATGTTTTTGAGAATAAAGATTATTCCAGAAGATCAAGATGCTTTAAGATTTCTGTGGCGGGGAGAAGAAAGTGGAAGAGTAGAAGAGTGGTGCATGGCATTATTGAATTTCGGAGCTGTCTGCTCATCATCTTATTCAATTTATGTCCATCAAACCAATTCTGAGAAGATACTGGAGAATAGTCTAAGGGAGGATTACGATACAGCTCAGAGCCTGGTTGGTACAGGCAAGTGCTGTACTGCGTTAAGTCAGCCAGTGATAAAGTGGATCTTTGGTCAAGTGTCTGAGTGTGACCAGATGTCTACTGCCACCAAGATTACATACCACAACTGTAGCAGGGAGAAATGTATCACTTTGGACAGAAACCTCGATGAACCTGGCGGAATGTTATCTGAAGATGCACCTAAAAGAGGAGGAACAGTGTTTATGAAAATTTTAGAGTTCACAGAGAGTCAGAAGGCTTCGTCCCAGCTTGAGACAGAATATGCAAACATCGACCAGAAGATCTGGACAATTCATAAGGACGCTGACAAGCACTACTCCCTGAACCAAAGGCTAGAGATCAGACAAGCAGACGTAGAAATGGCGAAGACTAGGATACAATTGTTCATGAGAGTCAGTGAGTGCAAGAAAAAAGAAAAGAAGTTTTCAAAAAAGGTTAAGCAGCTGGAAGCTAAAGTAAAAGATGTAAAAAAACCTAGAGAAAAAGAATTAAAATCTGCAGAA